TTAATACCACTTTACAATGCCTTGGTAAGGCCACACTTGGAATACTGCATCCAGTTTTGGTCACCACGATGTAAAAAAGATGTTGAGACTCTAGAAAGAGTACAGAGAAGAGCAACAAAGATGATTAGGGGACTGGAAGCTAAAGCATATAAGGAACGGTTGCTGGAATTGGGTATGTCTAGTTTAATGAAGAGAAGGACGAGGGGGGACATGATAGCAGTATTCCAATATCTCAAGGGCTGCCACAAAGAAGAGGGTGTCAAGCTATTTTCCAAAGTGCCTGAAGGCAGGACAAGAAGCAACGGATGGAAACTAATCAAGGAGAGAAGCAACCTAGAACTAAGGAGAAACTTCCTGACAGTTAGAACAATTAACCAGTGGAACAACCTGCCTCCAGAAGCGGTGAATGCTCCAACACTGGAAGTTTTTAAGAAGAGACTGGACAGCCATTTGTCCGAAATGGCGTAGGGTTTCCTGCCTGAGCAGGGGGTTGGACTCGATGACCTTCAAGGTCCCTTCCAACTTTATTACTACTACTACTACTACTACTACTACTACTACTACTACTACTACTACTACTACTACTACTACTACTATTTATACTCCTTACAGACAGCTGGACATTTGCATTCTTTTTTTTGAAGAAGCTCCAAAAGAGAAGCGAAACGTCTTTAAAGAAAAACAAAGAGTCCAGTGGCCTTGTGAAAAAAAAAAAAAAAGCACCTTGGGGTTAATTGCAGCTTAGCAGTTTTTCTCAATCTTGGCAACTTTAAGAGGCGCGAACTTCAACTTCAACCAGGCCGGCTGGGGAATTCTGGGAGTTGAAGTCCATGCCTCTTAAAAGTTGCCAAGGTTGAGAAACACTGGCCTCGACAACGATCAGAAGAAATGGGGGTGCGGAAAACATCACAGAAGGGATCCTCTCTCTAATTCTACGGAAAGTAAAAGGAAGGGGAGGGGAAGATGGATTTTCAGGCTTGCAAGATTCTCACTGTTTCCAGGATGGCTTTGCGGGCCACATGAAACCACTTCGCGGGCCGCATCCGCCCCCCCCCCCCCGGCCTTGTGCTTGACATGTCTGAATTACGGTAACCTTAAAATAAAATATTCATGCTTGTTGATTTCCTGTCTGGACCGCCTGACAAAGGTGAACGTCAAATCTGAAGTCCTGAAACAGCTGATCAAGCTTCCTCACCCTTCACTCAAACAATATTTTAATGTTTATGCATTTTCTCGTGCTGCCAACAGGCCGTGTTCTCCATCAGGTCGTACCCAGCCACAAACAGAAAGCCAAAGTGTACAGAATTTGATTTTAGGAGGCCAGCTAAAGTTATCTCTTCAAAAATCTGCAGTTGCTTTGCTTTGCTTTTTAAATCCACCTTCACCCCATGGCTGTTTTAGAGCGCAACTCCCCAAACCTGGCACCTAATCTGTTATTTAAAAAGCCAGATTGGAATGTCTTTGTCTAAATAAAGATGGTATGGAGAGAGCGTTATCTTCTCACTGTTCTGACCCAGAGTTAAAATGCCTTATAAATCGGATCAGACAGATAAACTCAATAGGAATAATTTCATAACAGAAACATATTTATTCAGAGAGATTACTTGCATTTATGATGGTTGCTTCTGGAAAATACATCTCTGTTCATTCCCATAGGTGAGAAATTAATGCTTTCTCCATACCACTTCTACATCGTGAATTGGAGTCATCGGAGACATGCTGGTGACCCCGTGATTTCTTAGACAAAAGACATTCCCAACTGGCTCGTGTCCAGGAAATCCTCTGATGAGCTCAGTAACTCCTCCCACATACCTAATAACATGAGATAGCTGACTAGCTAAACTACATTTCCCATAAGCCATCTCTTAAGGAGACAGCACTTAACCCAATAAATGCCAACCTTCTAACATGCAGAACTACATGGTCCAGAACACTTCCACTATTTTAAAAAATAGTAATAAAAAGTAAAAAGTTTCTTACAGGGATAAGGCTGCAGTGGTGGCTGGATTTGCTGCTGACTGTCTGCATTGGCTGGTCTCTGTGTTGATGCCATTTCTGGTTTAGCCTCTGGTGTTTCTGGCTCCTAAAAAGGGGGGGGGAGAGAAACCAGATGCCACTAAAATATCCACATTGATTCCAAAATTGTTGACTTATGGCATGCCCCTTTTGCCCAAATAAAGGGTACAAACAGACACACAGAAGCGTTTCGGTAGCATAATGAGCCGTTAGTGGCACAGGGGTTTAAGTGCAGCATTCCCGGTGAACTCCTGCCCACAGCCTGGAGTTCGATCCTGACGAGCTCAAGGTTGACATAGCCTTTCCATCCTTCCAAAGTTGGTAAAATGAGGACCCAGATTGTTGGGGGGGGGGGGCAAAATGGCAACGCTGTAGATTGCTCAGAGATAGCTGTAGTGCACTGTGAAGCAATATATAAGTCTAAGTCGGGGTAGGCCACCTTGGCTCTTTTATGACTCGTGGACTTCAACTCCCAGAATTCCTGGGCCAGCATGGCTCAGCTTGAAAACCTCTCCCTTTCCCCTCAGCATGGCCGGCTCAGGAATTCTGGGAGTTGAAGTCCACGAGTCATAAAAGAGCCAAGGTTGCCTACCCCTGGTCTAAGGGCTATTTGCTATAATATTAGAACGGTGACACTTCAGAAAAATTCACGTTGGGAAGCTTTCACAGACAATAAGAAGCCTCCCTTCACAACTGGGGCAGAAAGGAGGTAAAAAACCCATCACGGCCTGGCGATGTCTCGCTTAAGGACCACGTTGCTTGGCAACGGGGTTGCAGGTCCCAACTGTCATTAAGCGAGGACCACCTCTATAGCATTTCCAACAACCAACCAGGGGCAAAGAGGGTTCCCTCATCTGCTCTCCCCTCCATTCGGGCGTTTGGAGCCGTCTCAGAAACTCCTCAGCCAGACCCACAGCTTCCAGGCACGTGTCCGGAATACGTTCCTTGACCCAGTTCTGCATTTCCCGGGGCAGGATGTTCAGGAACTGCTCCAGAAGCAGAAGCTCCAGAATCTGTTCTTTGCTGCTCCTCTCGGCCCGCAGCCACTGGCAGAAGAGGTCCCGGAGCCGGGCGAGGACTTGCCGCGGGCTCTGGGCTTCTTGAAAGCAGAACCGGCGGAATGCTTGACGTTGCTTCTCCCTGATGGCGGCTTCCCGGCGCAGCACGGCCGACTTCACCTTCCAGTAGTCTTCCCGATCCTCGGCGGACAGGGCGACGAAAGCCTTCTCGGACTCCTCGCTGAGAGCCGGCAGCAGACGCGTCACCCACTCTTTTTTCGGCCAGCGGCAAGCCATGGCGACTTTCTCAAAGGAGGCCAGGAAGGCCTGCGGCTCCTCCCACGGGATGAGATCCTCCAGCAGCTGCTTCTCGGAAAAAGTGTCCCTCAGGAACTCCTGATACTGCGTTTCCCACAGATTAAGCATGCTCTGGTCCTCTTGCTGGTGGGGCATCTCCAGGGATCCCCCCATCCCTCCAGCTTGGGGGGCGAGAGAGGGCCGGGGGCCTGCTCCTAAGCCCAGCTCAGCTTGCAAACTTGGAGCACCGTCCCGTAGCCCTCCTTTCTTGGCTAGCCCCATCTTGTTTTCCAGTTTGAGACGGAGGTCCCTTTTCTGCAGCTTTGCCCTCATCATAAAGAACCGTTTAAAATGGCGGCCGCCGAAGCAACGGGAGTGCAGGCACAGCGAAGAACTTCTATTCTGGCTGCCTCACAAACGTTTGGAGGGCTTGGTAGGGCAGCAAGTGTCCAGGCAGCTAAAAAAAAAAAGGAAAAGGAAAATATGATCATCTTTTGCAGGTTTTTGAAGGATGGAAAAACACTTGCAAGGAAAGCACCAAATCAGATTTGCAAAGCAAAGGATTCTTCTGAAATGGTTCGCTTTGCCATCGAATCGAAAAAAGCAATGGGATTCACATAAGGACCAAAATGAAGGTGTTGGATGGAGCAGTGTTTCTCAACCCTGGCAACTTTAATGGGTGTGGCCTTAGATGTATGGCCTTCACTTTAAGGCAGGGGTCTTCAAACGTGGCCCTTTTATGACTTGTGGACTTCAACTCCCAGAATTCCTCAGCCAGCGTGCCTGGCTGAGGAATTCTGGGAGTTGAAGTCCACAAGTCATAAAAGGGCCACGTTTGAAGACCCCTGCTTTAAGGTGTGGACTTCAACTCCCAGAATTCCCCAGCCAGAACAGCTCTGAGGGATTCTGGGAGTTGAAGTCCACAGGTCTTAAAGTTGCCAAGCTTGAGACCCACTAGTTTAGGTTATTGACTAAGGGGCCACCCTTTGCTCAATGCAGGAACACACTGTTACAATAATTGTTTTGTTTTATTAAAATATACTGTATTTAACTCTAATTTCATTTTATGCACCCAAGTGGCTGATAGGCTTCTCAAAACCGTGTGCCAGATATGTAATCTCACTCCTCAGTTTGATCCTCCCAAGTAAAAGGAATCTCATCAGAAGCCAGAATCAAAAATATTAATTTTTAAAATGCCCAACCTATTTGGGGCGGTTTCATCCTTTCCCCAAAGACAGGGATAATTTTTTCAGCTCCAAGGAAGGGGGTGTGGGCTAAGGCTGGCAACATATCCTCTCTTGAACCCAATCAGTTTCAGGATTAGCATTTCAACCTTTTCGCTGAGGCTCCACTACCACTAGGTGCAGTTAATCCGTTTGTAAGGCTAAAACCATTTGTAAATTATTTGTATTCCTTGGAGGTGGAGAAACCAGATAAGAGAGGAACTATTTAGCAAGACAAAAGGCTGTCTTTCCCCTTTTAAATAGATTTAGACTGGAAAGAGGTCAGCCAGAGGGCAGGGTGTGTTATCAGAATAACAGTTGGAAGGGACCTTAGAGGTCTTCTAGTCCAACCCCCTGCTCAGGCAGGAGACCTTATACCAGTGGTGGGATTCAAATATGTGAACAACCAGTTCTCTGTGTGGATGCCACTTCCAGAAGTCCATTCTGGGCCTGGGCAACAAAAAATTAGCTACTGGTTCTGCTGAACTGGTGTGAACTGGGCTGAATCCCACCACTGGGCTTATCCCATTCTTATCCTTGGAGATGCACACACACAAACAATTTAGGGAATATCTTTATTAGGTCATCCATTTATAATACTTTGCAGGAACTTGGGTTTTAAATCTTTCAATCTTATCTGCAAAAATGTGCCCCCCTCCCAATTTAATAACAGAGGGCATTTTAAAAAGACAAATAACTTGCCAGGAAAGATTATGGCATAATAATGAAATATAGCGTTATAAGCCATCATTAACTGGCTTTATATTTTATACCGTACCCAAGTTGCAGAGGTTCCCAATGATTACGCTGACAGAAGATGCACTCACGATGTAGTCATGGTTTAAATTAAATTAATTGGTGGTAACACTAAGCCTACAGTATACCACTTTTGCCTGTTCTCTTTTAGCCTGCCACTGGCTCAAACCCAGCGGGTCTGGCTGACCCGAGTTTACAGCCCAGGAAACTGAGTTAATGGAGTAAAGCACGTGTAAACGCGGCTAAGGCCAAGCCGCAGAATTTGTACTTGCCGCCAGTCGGCATTAAATAGCCAGCGGCAGCCTACGAAACTCCTTGCTACGTGATCCTACGAGTGGATCCACATGAAAGGAAACTGCTTTTTAAAAAAAGGGAAGGACAAGGGTTCCCTTCTTAATCGGAGGCCGCCTCGATGTGGATGGAGGCCGGATACGAAGGGCCCTAATCCAACCACGCGGGGCGGGGGGCGTCTTAATACCACTATTTCTTGCAAACCTCCAGGGAATTTCATAGAAACGTTACTGCAATATTTATTGAATTATTAAATTAATATGCCGCCCGCCTCGCTATTCAAAGCCATGTTGCTCTTCTTCCCCTCCCGGGCCCGACCCAAACCCAATTCCAGCTGCTGGGTCAACCAGATTTAACTTTCTAGCCCAATTTTCCACGCGTGAAATCCCAGATCGTGGCACGGACGGGCGGAATAGCAAGCACGAAATAAAACGCATCCACACAAAGGGTGGCGGTGAGTCCCGCAAGCTGCCCTCCCAAGCCCAGAGAAACTGATGATGATCATTTGCACAAACCACGTTTGCTCCCCCCCAACTTCACCTCCGCTCCCGGTTGCAGCTGAGTGGGAAGGAAAACTGGAGGGCGGGCGGGCGGCGTCCTCTTTCTTTTTGCACGACGCCAGATCTGGGTGCGAATTGAACCCTGCCCGTCGTAAACTTTTGCACGCCCCCCCTCCTTTTCTCTGGCCCCGCCCCTTTTGGGGAGGTGGGGAAAACCTGGGCGCGACCTTACCCAAAACCCCGGGGATGGGGGATGCCATTCACATGTTAATGGAAAAAAAAAGAGAGAGAGAAAAGATTTGGGGAAATAGGTTTGGGAGATTGCCTGGGGCAGGGCCGGTTTAATACGTCCTCTGCGAGGCACCTCCGATTTGATTGATTGATTTATTGATTGATTGATTGATTGATTGATTGGGGCTCTGTTTTTCCCATGCCAGCTGAAGACACTAGATAGGTTTGGTAGAGAGAGCGTGGTTGGGTCAAAATCCACCGAAATACCTGGCTTGTGTTACTCCATACTAATATTTCTCAGCTTTAGTAAGTTTAAGGTGTGTGGACTTCATTTCCCAGAATTCCCCAGCCAGCTGGCTAGGGAATTCTGGGAAATGAAGTCCAGATAGCTTAAACTTGTTGAAGCTGAGAAACACTGCTCCATGCATTGATTGGTATGCTCAGTGGTTTGTAGTTTAGAATGTAATATGTTTTAGCAAACTACCCCAGTGTGATCATGGTTAAGCAGTCATTAACTGCTATATAATGCAGGTGGAACTCTTGCCGCCAGTCGGCATTAAATAGGCAGCGGCAGCCTACGAAACTCCTTGCTACGTGATCCTACGAGTGATCCACATGAAAGGAAACTGCTTTTTTTAAAAAGGGAAGGACATGGGTTCCCTCCTTAGTCTGACATATATTCCTGGGAAGCTTTTTGTGACTGGGGATGAGGGATTCTTGATTCAAAGATGTACATCAGGAAAATTAGGAACACTGTTTGATAATTTGCATTTTGCAGCTGTGGAAGGCCTCTTAATTCCTCAGTGCAAGAAATATGGAAACGGCTTGCCTGCATTTGTGCAACATTTAACCTGGTTACTGAATCAAGACATTTTGGGGACTTGCATTCTGTGTTGAACCAGGAACTAATAGCACAAATGGGTTGGGCTCACGGTAACTCAGATTCGCCCAAAACAAAAATCTAAGTAAATGGACAGCCATTTGTCTGAAATAGTATAATAGGGTCTCCTGCTTGAGGAGAGGGTTGGACTAGAAGACCTCCAAGGTCCCTTCCAAGTCTATTAGAATTGTGTGGTTTTATTCTTATTATTTTTCTTTGTTTTGACTTTGAGAACCATGCAGAGTGGCTGAGAGTAAGATAGTGCATAAATTTAATACATACATACATACATATAATATATGCATCATACATTTTTATTATTATTATTAAAAATGGATTGGGAACTTCTGCTGAATTACAGGTAGTCCTTGACTTATGACTACAATTGCTAAGTATAAAATTTGTTAAGTGAGTTTGTCCCATTTTTACGACATTTCTTGCCACATTCATTAAATGAATCACTGCAGTTAAATTAGTAACACAGTTGTTAAGTGAATCTGGCTTCCCCATGGACTTTGCTTGGCAGAAGGTGGCAAAAGGTGGTCACGTGACCCCGGGACACTGCAACCGTCATAAATATGAACCAGTTGTCAAACATCCGAATGACCATGGGGATGTTGCAACAATCATAAGTGGGAAAATGGTCATAAGTCACTTTTTTCAGTGCCGTTGTAACTTCAGTCACTAAATGAACTGTTTTAAGTTGAGGACTATCTGTACCTTAGGGAAATCTCTGCTTTCCTTAGTCAAGGATTCCTCAAGAAACTGGGTGGAATTCTCCTGCATATATTTGATTTATATCCATTTCACCTTGCTCTCAGGCATTCTGCGTGATTCTTGAAGTCAAAATACAGAAAAATAACAATAAAGCCACACAACAATAGGACAAGGAACCAACGGTGGGAAAAACTTGGCAACAATGCAGTACGTGTCCACATTACCCAGAAGGAGCTTCAGTGATGCTAATAAAGCCATTTGTGTTGTTTTTAGTTGCTGCAAACCTTTATTTTTAACTAGGCTGTTGGGTGCTCCATCACTGAAGATTGTTAAGAACTCAGTAAACTTGTCTGAGATGGTATAGATTCTCCTGCTTGAGCAGGGGGCTGGACTAGAAGACCTCCAAGGTCTCTTCCAGATTCTATTCTATTCTAGTCTATCTCATCCTATCTCTCTTCATTCTATTCTATTCTATTCTGTTCTATTCTATTCTATTATATTCTAGTCTAGTCTAGTCTAGTCTAGTCTAGTCTATCTCATCCCATCTCTATTCTATTCTATTTATTCTATTCTTTT